GGGCTGGGTGGAAGGGCGCCTGCTCTCTGAGCACCTCTGGCTGGTGGCGGGATCTCTGTTCTTCATGCCCACACAGGAGGAGACCCCCAAGGGTGAGGCCGTGGAGCCAGAGCCCAGTGCCCCTGACGCAGATGACGACGGGCGAAGACATGGCTTCCTCATTCTGAGCCGAGAAGACTCCACTATGGTGAGGGGTTGGGGCCTGGCTGCCTGGGGCAGGGGCCTCAGTGGTCAGGGCGCCTCACCCTCCCTCGCCCACAGATTCTGCAGACGGGGCAGGAGATCATGGAGTTGGACACCAGTGGCTTTGCCACACAGGGCCCCACAGTCTTTGCTGGCAACATCGGGGACAATCGCTACATCGTGCAAGTGTCGCCGCTGGGCATCCGCCTGTTGGAAGGAGGTGGTCTGGCCGGCTGGATGGGTGGGTGGACAGCCTGGTAGGCCATTGGGCATGGCACATGCTGACCACCCTGTGTCCGCAGTGAGCCAGCTGCACTTCATTCCTGTGGACCTGGGCTCCCCCATTGTGCAGTGTGCTGTCGCCGATCCTTATGTGGTCATCATGAGTGCTGAGGGCCACATCACCATGTTCGTGCTCAAGAATGACTCGTACGGGGGCCGCCACCACCGCTTGGCACTGCACAAGCCCCCGCTGCACCACGTAGGGCCCCCTCCCCACCTGGGCCACCTGAGCCCCACCCATGCCCCACCCCACCCCTGCTGAGCTGCCCCTCCCCCCGCAGCAGTCCAAGGTGATCGCGCTGTGCGTGTACCGAGACGTCAGCGGCATGTTCACCACGGAGAGCCGCCTGGGCGGGGCCCGCGATGAGCTGGGGGGCCGCAGTGGCTCAGAGGCTGAGGGTCCAGGCTCAGAGACCAGGTGCCTGGGGGGCTGGGGAGCTGGGGAGCTGGGGCTGCGGTCCCTGCAGGGCGGCTACTGATAACGCATGTGCCCGGCAGCCCCACAGTGGACGAGGAAGAGGAGATGCTGTATGGGGACTCAGGCCCCCTTGGCCCCGGCAGGGAGGAGGCACGCAGGGGCAGCCAGCCGCCCGCGGCCCGGGACCCCAGCCCCTGCCGGGCGGAGCCCACACACTGGTGCCTGCTAGTGCGGGAGAACGGAGCCATGGAGGTGGGTTCCACAGCGCCTCACCCTACCCCCCACCCAACAGCGCGGCACCCCGCTGACCACTGCTGCCCACAGATCTACCAGCTCCCCGACTGGAGGCTGGTGTTCCTGGTGAAGAACTTCCCGGTGGGGCAGAGGGTCCTGGTGGACAGCTCCTTCGGTCAGCCCACCACGCAGGCTGAGGCCCGCAAGGAGGAGGCCACGCGCCAGGGAGAGCTGCCGCTCGTCAAGGAGGTGCTGCTGGTGGCACTGGGGAGCCGGCAGAGCAGGCCCTACCTGCTGGTGAGCACAGACCCCTGGCTGCCGCCCTTCCCCCGCCCCGGCGTGCGCCCCGACTCCAGCGACCCAATGCCCTCCCCAGGTGCACGTGGACCAAGAGCTGCTCGTCTACGAGGCCTTCCCCCACGACTCACAGCTCGGCCAGGGAAACCTCAAAGTCCGCTTCAAGAAGGTGCGCTGGTGCCCAGCGGGGGGATGGGCCAGCATGGGCGGGGCTGGGCCTCACGGTGCACCCCCACCAGGTCCCCCACAACATCAACTTCCGAGAGAAGAAGCCCAGGCCATCCAAGAAGAAGGCAGAGGGTGGCGCCGAGGAGGGGCCTGGGGCCCGGGGGCGCGTGGCCCGCTTCCGCTACTTCGAGGACATTTATGGTTACTCGGGGGTAGGCAGGGGCCTTGGGAAAGCGGCGGGTGGGCAGGGGCTCGGCTCAGCGATCTCCTCACAGTGCTCCCTGCAGGTGTTCATCTGCGGCCCCTCTCCCCACTGGCTCCTCGTGACCGGCCGGGGGGCCCTGCGGCTGCACCCCATGGGCATCGATGGCCCCATCGACTCCTTTGCCCCATTCCACAATGTCAACTGCCCACGCGGCTTCCTGTACTTCAACAGACAGGTAGGGGACTGGCCGGTGCTTCCCCACCGCTCCTGGGCCAGCTTCTGCCACCACAGACCGATGCTGCCCAGGGCAGGAAGCGGGGCCGCTGGCGGCTGCAGACAGGGCAGCCGAGGATGGTGGGGCCAAGGCCAAAGTGAAACTGGGCTTAATGATGGTAATGATGGCAAGGTTTGGAGGCCGGGGGTCAGGGGTGGAGACTGTAGTCCACAAGGGCACCTGTCTGGGTGGCCGGGGTCCAGTCAGTGCTCTGGCCTTAGGAGTCGTGTGACTGGGTGAAGTGCTCACCTTTTGTGGGCCTCACTTTTTTCATTGGTGTCACCAAAATGGTAGCACTGACCCCCCCCGCCCCAGGGCCACTCTGAGGTCTCAGCGATGGTGCTGAGCTTGCCAGGACTGTGGGTGAGGGAAGAGGGGACGGGACCCTGGCAGGCGCTCCCTCACCCGTCAGCAGAAATCAGTGTGGGCAATGTGACCACCCTTTGCCTCCAGACCCTCTGGCTCAGCCCTCCCTTCTCTGGCCCAGACCACAGCTGTGGCAAGCATCCCTGGGTGAGCCTGAGAAGGGACAGAAAGCCAAAGCCTCTCACCCACCCCTCTCCAGCAGATCTGAGGGCTGGCTCCAGGGAGCCCTTTGAGGCCTGGGGTCGCCTCTCATTGTCAGCAGCACCAGGCCTTGCTGACCCCTGTGTCCTCCAGGGGGAGCTGAGGATCAGCGTCCTGCCTGCCTACTTGTCCTACGATGCCCCATGGCCTGTCAGGAAGATCCCGCTGCGCTGCACGGCTCACTATGTGGCCTACCATGTGGAGTCTAAGGTCTGAACCCCCTTTGAGGCCAGGGACACCCTGGGCCTGGCCCGTGGCACGTGACGCCTTCTCCTTCCCCAGGTGTATGCTGTCGCCACGAGTACCAACACGCCATGCACCCGCATCCCACGCATGACGGGCGAGGAGAAGGAGTTTGAGACCATTGAGAGAGGTGGGAGACGCCCTGGCCTGGGCCTGCTCTCAGGGCTGCACCCCCCTGACCACCTCCGCTATCTCTGCAGATGACCGGTACATCCACCCCCAGCAAGAGGCCTTTTCCATCCAGCTCATCTCTCCGGTCAGCTGGGAGGCCATCCCCAACGCCAGGTGAAGCTGGGCCCAGCTGGGTAGGGGTTGGCGGCCGGCCTGGGACTATGTCCTGACCTAGTCTCCCGTAGGATTGAGCTGGAGGAGTGGGAGCATGTGACGTGCATGAAGACGGTGTCACTGCGCAGCGAGGAGACCGTGTCAGGCCTCAAGGGCTACGTGGCCGCTGGCACCTGCCTCATGCAGGGGGAGGAGGTCACCTGCCGTGGGCGGGTAAGCAGGGGGTGGGGGTGGGGTGGGCAGGGCCGGCCCTGGCAGCCTGTGCCGTTCCCACATCACCCAGCACGCTCCCCACACGCAGATTCTGATCATGGACGTGATCGAAGTGGTGCCTGAGCCTGGCCAGCCCCTGACCAAGAACAAGTTCAAGGTCTTGTATGAAAAGGAGCAGAAGGGGCCCGTGACCGCCTTGTGCCACTGCAACGGCCACCTTGTTTCAGCCATCGGCCAGAAGGTAGGCCCCTCTCCAGCCTGCCCACCTGCCCTGCATCAGCCCATGCCCACCCACCAGCTGCCACCTCTCCCGTCCACAGATCTTTCTATGGAGCCTGCGCGCCAGCGAGCTGACAGGCATGGCCTTCATCGACACCCAGCTCTACATCCACCAGATGATCAGCGTCAAGAACTTCATCCTGGCCGCGGATGTCATGAAGAGCATCTCGCTGCTACGCTACCAGGAGGAGAGCAAGACTCTGAGCCTCGTGTCCCGGGTACATGTGGGACTGGGCACTTTACATTGGGTGGTCACTGGCCCCAGGCAGACCCTGATGTCCCTCCCCTCCCTATCCCTAGGACGCCAAGCCCCTAGAAGTGTACAGCGTGGATTTTATGGTGGATAATGCCCAGCTGGGCTTCCTGGGTGAGTACAGGGCCTGGAGGCAAGAGTCTCTAAGACCTCGGGAGTGGCCAGGGCTGACTCTGGGCTTTGTTCCCAGTGTCTGACCGTGACCGCAACCTGATGGTATACATGTATCTGCCGGAAGGTAAGTGTTCCCTCTACCCTTCTGCTGGGCGTGGGCAGGGCTGGACCGGCCACAACCTGAGGTCCCTCTGGCACAGCCAAAGAGAGCTTCGGGGGCATGCGCCTGCTGCGCCGGGCAGACTTCCACGTGGGAGCCCACGTGAACACCTTCTGGAGGACCCCGTGCCGGGGGGCTGCCGAGGGGCCCAGTAAGAAGTCGGTCGTGTGGGAAAACAAGCACATCACGTGGTTTGGTGAGCACCGGGGCAGGGTGGGGGCAGGTGTGTCGCGTCAGCCGGGCTCAACACTGTGCCCCTTACAGCCACACTGGACGGGGGCATCGGGCTGCTGCTGCCCATGCAGGAGAAGACCTACAGACGGCTGCTGATGCTGCAGAACGCGCTGACCACCATGCTGCCCCACCACGCCGGCCTCAACCCTCGTGCCTTCCGGTGAGTGTGCTGCTGCCCGCCAGGTCTGTGCTGACACCCCACCAGCTTGGCACCACCCCACCGTCTCCCTTCCTTCCCAGGATGCTGCACGTAGACCGGCGCACCCTGCAGAATGCCGTGAGAAACGTCCTGGATGGGGAGCTGCTCAACCGCTACCTGTACCTGAGCACCATGGAGCGGGGCGAGCTGGCCAAGAAGATTGGCACCACACCTGACATCGTAAGTGACCGGCTCACCTCTGTGCACCCCCGCCCCTCTCCGCCTGCCCTCACCCACCTCTCTCCCCGCAGATCCTGGACGACCTGTTAGAGACGGACCGTGTCACTGCTCACTTCTAGATCCCTGGACACTACTGTGACCCCTGTGCCTTGCCCGACCCCCTTTTGTACAACCCAACCCACTTTTGTACAAAACACAAGGAAAAAGCATTGTTTGATTTGAGAAGAGCGTGTGGTCATTGCCCGACCTCCTGGCCCCAGCCGTGGTCAGAGCCCCTGGGCGTCCCCCACCCTAGGCCCCAGCTGCTCCGGTGCCCCAGGTCTTGGGGTCTCCACACCTCAGCCCTGGCCAGCTCCGTCGACCCGAGGTGAGGCCAGCACTGCTAGCCCCGGGCGAGCTCTGCAGTCCTGCCACCAGGACCCTAGGTCTCCAGGTACTCAGACAGCCCCTCAGTGCTGGGCATGAGGCCCAGACGGACCAGCATGCGGACCAGGAGGGCGGTGAGCCGCATAGACAGGGTCTCCAGCCTGGGTAGGTGGGCCAAGGGGTCGCAGGTTGGTGGGGAGCAGGCCCTGGCTGCCCACCTGCCAGGCCCCTCCTCCTGTCTACTCACCTCAGGGCTACTTCGAACTTGAATGTCTCCCAGATGACCCTGATTTGGCGCAGGAGGCTGGCTCCGTAGACGCTCGGAGCACCCACCAGGCGGCTCCAGCCTCTGACCGCACTGCCGGAGAGGTGGTCAGCCAGGCCCGTGCCACTCACCCCCCTGCCCAGGCACCCCGCCAGCACCCACCTCTTGGCCATGAGGAAGTACCGGTCCACAGGGGCGCCGAGGGAGGTGTTGATGGAGCGCACCGTGTTGATGTTGCGCAGCACGAGCAGCAGGGGCCGTGGCAGGGCCTTGAGCACGGCCATGATGCCCGCGAAGTGTTCCCGCGCCATGGCTTGCATGTAGGCCGCCTCCTTGCGGCTCAGCCGGTGGGAGCGCCACAGCTGCCCCAGGCGTACGGGCCTCTGCATCAGCATCTCGGAGAACAGGAAGTAGTCTGGGGCGGGGGGGGGCTGAGCCAGACTGTGCACCCTGCACGCCCACACACCCTGGCCTCACCTTGCACCCCGAGTGCAGCTGCATGTGCTTTCATTGCGGCGTCGTCCCTCAGTATGATGGCCCGCCACAGCTGGCACAGGGCTGACCGGTCCCTGGGGGCCCAGAGTGAGTCTGGAGCACCAGGACGGGAAAGGCCAGGCCCCGGGGCCAGGACCCCGCCCCTGCTTACTTCTCATCCAGGAACTGGTAGAGCCCGTGGTCCAGCAGCACCAGCTGTGCCTTCCCATCCTGGCCTTTCCGCACCAGAACTAGGCACATAGCACACTGGTCCGTGCCACGCCCTGCAGTGCGAGCCACGCCCACCCTCAGCCCTGGGGCTTTTCCTACCATTGCCGGGGTGGGGATCGGAGTGGATGAAGCCTGTGTAAAATATCTGCTCAGCAAAAGCATGGATGAGCTTCTCTGCTATCTGGGGAGAGAACAGGACCGTGCCGGCATCACCCCGTGCTCATACAGGCATCCCCTCAGGTGTGGGCGTGGCAGGCACAGCCCTCCCACGCCCTGTGCATGCAGCACTCACGTCCTGCACGGCCAGCCCCATGGACCTGATGGCTTCCACGTCGTTGACCTTGCAGCCCTCACAGAACTCGGCGGTCAGTACACGCTGAGAGAGAGCGAGGCTGAGCTCAGCAGGCCCGTGCACCCCCACCCCCGGAGGGGACCCAGCCCACCTTGCTGGACGTGTCCCAGTACACGCGGGGGACCACGATGTAGTGGAAGTGCTGCAGGTCCCGTGCGCAGCGCTCGGCGTTCCGGCCCTCATTCTCGAAGTCCAGCTCCTGGGCGAGGGTGCCCTTCAGGTCCTGGGGACCACATGGGTGGTTGGAGGTCCAGGTCAGGGACAGTGTACTGAAATGAGCAGGGCTCGCCTCCCTAGCCGGCCTGCTGGCAGCGGTTACCTGCAGCACCCAGCTGAAGCCGAAGCTGGGGTGCATGAACTCCACCAGCCTGAGCAGTAGCTCCAGTGTGTGGATGTCCCCATGGAAGCGGTCCCGCAGGTCGATGTACTGCACCTGCGTGGCCGAGGGTACAGGGAGGGCCGCTGCAGCCTCCGCCCTGGCCCGCAGCCGCCACCCCGCAAGGCAGGCCCCACGCACCTTCACGGCTACGGCGGTGCCGTCGTGCAGCCGGGCACGGTGCACCTGGGCTAGGCTGGCGGCGGCAATTGGCTGGTAGTCAAATTCCTGGAAGAGCTTGTGGGGTGGGGCATGGAAGTCCTCAAGGAACAGCTGGTCCACCTGGCAGGAGAGTGTTCTTAGAGCAGTGGGGGGGGGCTGCAGCCAGAGCTCCCACCCCCAGCCTCTGTGCCCAAGGGCAGGGCCCACCTCCTGGAAGCCAGACTTGAGGGCCTTGTCTTCGAGCACGCGCAGCGTCCGGATGTACTCAGGGGGCAGCAGGTGGTTGAAGGAGCACAGCCCCTGGCCCAGCTTCACATAGAGGCCCCCATTGCTGATGGCCCCAGCCAGTAGGGCATCGGCCGCCCGCTGGTGACACGCAGACATCACTTCCGAGTACCTCGGGCTGTTCTGACCACAGGCATGGCGGGATGGGGGCAGGCAGGCACCTCAGTGCCCCCAGCACCTGCCTCCTCTGGGGCGCCCCGCACTCCCACATGTCCAAACGGGCCAGCTGCAGCCCAGGACGCACGACAAACCTCTTCCACTCCTCGCAGCATGACGTTTGTGCACCACCAGTAGTCCAGGGAGATCTGCAGGCCGACGCACAGGGACCTGCCAGCAGAGGCCGCCCTCAGCCCCAGCAGGCCAGCCTGAGACCCCGAGCCCTGCACAGCCCCACCCTTCACGCCCGGCACTAGGAGGGGCTCGGCGGACTCGGGCATTGCCACAGACCAGTCTCAGCTCCTGGTCTGCGTCCACGCTGCCCTTGGTCTCTGACCGCCGACAGGCGCCTAGGACAGGTGGGGCTGAGGGCTGGGTGCGGCCTTGGGCCCTAACCACCGGCTGTGGTTCTTTCTTCGATCTTTCAGCACTCATTGTTAAAGAAAATCCAGTCGAGAGTGGGCACAGCCATGACGGCTGGCAAGCTGGCTGCTGCTGGCCCTGTGGGCATGGCTCACCTGCAGCACGCCCGCAAGGCCTGCCCTGCAGGCCTCGGTTGCCTCAGAGGGAGGACAGCTGCCTCCTACCTGCTGAAGCGGCCGATGCCATCTGCCATGAGCCGCATCTTCCTCCTGTCCTGTTGCTCCGCCGTGAAGTAGCGGACTCCGAGGAGCAGGGGCACCCCCACCGCCGTGGCGGAGAGCACCTTCTTCCACAGGGGCTGGGGTCTCAAGGCCCTGGCGGGAGAGGTGTGCAGTGGGGTTACTTCCTGCCTGTCTGCCCTCCCTATGCAGCCTGTGCTCTGCCCCGTCCAGCCCACATGGCGCTCATGGCCAGAGCCAGGCCCACCCCATGGCCACTTCAGCTGTGCCTAGGACCTCTGCAGGTGACATCGGTCTCAGTCACCTATGTGGTCACCAGAGTGCTCTGACCACTGCATCCCTGACCTGCCTGACCCCACAGATGCCCCGGATGTCAGGGGATGGGGAAAGCAGCTCCTTAGCTCCATGGAAAGCCGCTCATGGGGCCAGGGCCATCTGTACCACGGTTCCAACACCATCCACCCCACTGGTGACCCACCTGGACTCTAGGTGTCAAGACGGCAGAGCCCAGGCCAGATGTGCAGGTAACACATGCCAGATGTGGAGTGCAAGACCAGGAGACCAGCGGTAGCCAGACCCAGACAGAGCCCTAGTGCCCAGGCCCGTGTCTGCCTGCGGTCCCCACGCCGCTGCTCCACCAGGCCCGGGGCATTCGAGTCACCTGCCTTCCGCCCCCCTCCCGCCCGTCCTGCCCACTGGCTCAGTCTCTTGCTGACCCGGATTTGTCTGGGCCCTGCCCTCCTCCATCTGAGCCCATCACTCTGGCTGCTGTCAGGGACCCGTCCCTGGAACTCCAGTCCCAGGTCAGGACCCTGGCAGTCATGGATCCCAGCCTGCCATTCCCAGGAGCAAATACCCAGGGGTCGGGGAACAGAGAAGATCTAGCCCCAGGCCCACAAGAGAGCTTGCCCAACACTGCCTGGCAAGGGGCACAAGCCTTGGAGGTGACAGCTGCTGCAGAGGACGTACCCCTGTGCAGGTGGGACCCTGAGGCCTCTCCTGAGCAAGGAAGCTGGGGACAGCCAGAACTTCGGCTTGAGCTGCAGCAGAGCGGAGTTGAAGTGGCAAAGTTGTGACTGCAAAGTGAGCAAAGAGTACAGGGTCACAGGAGGCAGCAGCAGACCTGGCACTTGCACAGGCACGGACCTGAGGACAAGCTGTGCCCCTCCACTCAAACGTCATCAAAGGATGCCAGTGCTTCCTGGCCTGCGTGCCTGACTTGGGAATGCAGGCAGCTCCATCTGCAGGAGCAAGGCTGCCGTCCAGGTGTCACGCGAAAGGGGACTGCTGCACGCAGCCTGCGGCAGGGCTTCTGCCTCAGTGCGCCACTCTGTCAGGCGGGTAGAACCAGACTCGGAAGCACGGACCTGCCTCGGAAATCAACGAGGCATGAGACCCTTCCTCCTACTGAGAGCCCAGAGGTGCAGACCCGAGGAGGGCGGGGAAGGCCAAGTGGACGGCAGCCAGCAGGGCACGTGGGGCAGCAGGGGCCAGGGGCTCCCTTGCACTCACTGGCAACCTTGGTCTTCCCATCTTATCTGAATTATGGGTCTTAAGAGGTCCTCCATCCCAAATTCCCCAGCTGCAAACTCCGTTTTTAGGGAAAAGCCTTGTGTGTAGTGAGTCACAGCCCGCAGCAGATGCTGACATTATCACTGTGAACACTGGGCCAAACGAGGAACCGAGTTCCCAGTCACTTCCGGCCGAAGCGTGGCCCTGAGGATGGTTCCAAGGACCACTGATTAACACAAAGTCAAAGGGGAGGGCCATGACCCACTGTCCCATGAGGACGAGACTGACAAAAACTCAGCAAGGCCATATATCGCCAGTACAGATCCTCCGGGAGACCCCGCAGGCCCGCCAGGGGGCTGCCATGGGGGTCCGGAGCCCTTAGGCCTTCTGTGTGAGGGCAGCACAGTTTGACCTGGCCACACGGCAGCACACATTCTCATGCCAGGCCACAGAGAAGGCACAGAGAGCGGGCACCTGCAGGACATCAGGGCCTGCAGGATGGCCCATATATCGCCAGTACAGATCCTCCGGGAGACCCCGCAGGCCCGCCAGGGGGCTGCCATGGGGGTCCGGAGCCCTTAGGCCTTCTGTGTGAGGGCAGCACAGTTTGACCTGGCCACACGGCAGCACACATTCTCATGCCAGGCCACAGAGAAGGCGCAGAGAGCGGGCACCTGCAGGACATCAGGACCTGCAGGATGGGTCCAGGCTGGGATCCCAGCCACCTCCCACCTGACATCAGACGGGGGTTTGTGACAAGCAGGTGTGCCAGAGGGTAAGCCCTGCCTGCCCACAGGCACCTGTGCCCATGCTCGACCCAGGCCCCTCCCTGTATTCCTCACCTGATCCGACATGTTCCAGTGTACACCCAGCACACCCTGCCCTGAGGACCAGCCTGCCGACCATGTGGCCCTGTGTGTGACCGGGGGCCATAGGCAGACATAGAGGCACGGGGCTGCTGGGAGAGCACCAGGTGCGAGGGAGGGAGAGGCCCTGCAGGCTGGCAGTGAGTGGGACTTGAGTGTAGACACTGGAGGCCCTTTCCAGGCAGTGGACATGGTAACAGCAAAGGCCTTCAGAAGCCGGGAGAGTTCAGGGTGACCCTGGGGAGACAGGCCTGTGTGGCTGGAAAGCCTGCCGAGGTAAGCGGAGGCTGCCCCAAAGGGAAAGGGTGGGAGCCGAGCGAGCGGAGGGAGCCAGGCAAGTGTCCCCAGGGCCCTTGCCGGGGTTTTCATGCAGGAAGGGGACGATGTCCTGGGGAAGTCAGCCCTGTGGGAGGCGGGGGCAAGTGTCCAGTCAGAGGGGCTGGAGCCCAGGCAGGGCCGTGGCCCGGGAAGGGCTGCTGGGAGGTGAAACCTAGAGGATTCAGGCCACGAGGACCGAGGCTGGCATCTGGGGACCAGGGAATGCCACAACGCCACTCTGCCTGGTGAGGGCTCTGCTGTGATTCTGACCTTGGCTGGATCACAGCCACTGAGTTAGAACAGACAACAGCTGCCAGCCACCATGCTCAACAGTCGTCATCACTGACCCTGAGTAAACCCCAGCAAGCAGGCCAGCGGCAGGCGTCGGGGAGACCTTCTCTCCACAGCAGCCTAGCCTCTGGGAAGTTACTAGGGTCTGTAAGTTGGGGCTGCTGCAGCTGGGCACAGCCACTCACCAAGTCTCTTCCCTTGTGCCAACGCTTGCGGTTTGTCATAACATAATAGCAGGTTATGGGGAAAAAAAGTGAGAGGGCTTTGTGGTTTCGGAGGCCGGACAGGCGCTGAGTGCGGAGCATCGCTAACCCCTGACCTCAGCCTGGAAGACGAAACGGCATGGACAGGAGCCACTGAGGGACTGCAGGCGCCTCGCTTTTCCGCGTGGCAGATGGCACTTTCACAAACCGGAGGTTTGTGGCAACCCAGCACGGAGCAAGTCTGTCGGCACCATTTTTCCCACAGCCTCGGGATGATTAGCCTTTTTTAGCAATAAAGAAATTGAGGCGTGTACTTCGTTTTTTAGATGTGATGCTGTCTGTTGCACAGTTCGCAGACCAGAGTGGTGTCAGTGTGACTCTTATGTGCACTGGGAGACCAGAGTTTGGCGACTGGTTTTGTCCTGACACTCGCTGTACTGCAGTGGTCCAGGACGGGGCCTATGGCGCCTCCAGGGTTTGCCTGTGCTGTCGGTATTTGAGGCATGATGAGGTTGCCGTGGTTACGTAAGAACGTCCTCGTCCAGGGTGTGCACACTGAAGTGTTTGGAGGTTATGTGTCAAGATGTCTGTGACCTACTATCACATGGTCCAATGACAACAAAACATATTCTCAAATAGCAACAGAAACGACGGCAGGATGTTAGTAACGGCAGACCTAGGCAGTGGGTGTCTGGGTACTTAGCTATCTGTCGGCCTGTCCCTCCCTGTTTTCATGATCACAGGAGCGAAGCATCTGCCATCTTACTTAAAGTCGCAACTGGGAAGGTGGTGTTTCGGAGCCAGGGCAGGGTCCCCACCTGGATGATTCTGTGCTGGGACTTCGGGCACTGTCTGAGGATTTTCACGACTTGGGGGAAGGGCTGCTCCTGGCATTGAGTGAGTGGCAGCCCGGCCCCAGCTGAGATGCTGGCAGCGCCGAGGCTGAGCAGTTGAGCAGCGGGGGCAGACCCAGGACCCAGACTTGGGGCTGGAAGTGGAATCCGGGCTCCAGCACTTACCAGCCATGCAGCAAGGGGGAGCTGCTTCCTGCCCTGTGCCTCGGTCCCGTCCGCACAGCTGTGACCAACGCACTATTCAAGTGCAGGTCAAGCAAAGCCCTGGGAGCAGCACCTGGCCCCCACAGCGCTGTGGGCCTGTGTGCGAGCAGACGCTCTTGCTGAGGTCACCTTGGGGTCAAGGAGCCTCCAGCCTCTCCCACGCCCTCCTCACTGCGCCAAGCCACCTGCTAGTCCCCAGTGCCCTTACCTTCCTCCCAGCAACCCTGCCACCACCCACCTAAGAAAAAGAAGTACACACTTGCTGAGCTGAGCCGACCTATTTGTTAAGATCGCGTCCCACTGCTTTTTCAGAAGGAAAAAAGGAGTTTGGTTTGCCCAGAAAAGGGACTATTTCCAGCACGTGAAAAGCTTGGAGATGGGTTATACACAGACTACGAAGAGGTGCCGACAAAGGGTGGCAGAGTGGCGTCTGCCACCAAGTCCCGGTGTGGTCACTGATTCAGAAGCTGCACCACAGAGGACAAAGAAGCAACATGGCCTAAGCCGGCAGACTGGGACCATCCTGGGACGCGCGCGATCAGAGGCCCAGGGCTGTGGTAGCCGACGTGCCAACGAAGGGGAGGAGCCCAATTCGGAGGCTGTGAGTGACACGCCAAAGCGAGGCCAGCGAGGAAGGCAACACGCCAAGCCCAGGCCCAGCTGCCCCCAGCCACGCAGCCCCCAGCTGCCCCTGGGAGGGCCGAGCACGAGGGGCCGCACTCGTGCTCTGGGCAGACTGCAGGGGAGAAGGCCCTCAGTCCTCCAGGGAGGGGCACACAGTGAGGGCACCCCCAGAAGTGTGCACAGCCCCCCGCCAGGCACCAGCCGGACAATGGCGACTTAGGGTTTCTGGCGACCCCAGTGAAAGCTCGCAGGGCGTACAGATGGTGCACAGCTCAAAGCAGACGTGCTGATGACGTGTCTCGGAGCAGGCGAAACCCACTACTCGCCCAGCTCTACACCCAAGCAGACAGGTTTACTCTGCACACCTCACATCTTCACCCTGAGCCAGGTGACCCTCCTCCGACAGCTTCCGTCTCTGAACAGGTGGTGATAGTGTCCACCTTGCGAAGTTGGAAAGGTGAGAGAGGTGGAAATAACGCACCTGTCCTCAGGCCTGGCACTTAACAGGCGCTCAGCAAGAGGTGGCGGTCACTACAGCAGGGCCTCCTGGCAGAGCCGGCAGCTGACCCCCAGCCGACCTGCTTCCTCAGCTGACACCCTCCCCATTCCCAAGCCAGCCTGCAGCAAAGTCCTCCAGCGTGTAGGTCCTGACAGCCAGAGGGAGCACGTTGTCCCCAAGAGTTGTTAACATACAAGGGTTTGGTGGGGAAAAGTCAAGTCACCTAACCTACAAATAACTTTAAACATCATTTTGATATTAAAACATACAGTTCTTTCACACAAAAAAAGAATGCTATATTTGAATTATTTCACACTAAAACATGAGGCCTAGCGCCCCCAGCCTCTGAACGCATGGCCAACCAGTGCCAAATGCTCCTGCACAGAGGCCCCGGCCCCATCCCCAGGGACCACCACACCGCGCAAGCTCTCGCTGCGCTCACCCCTCCTCACTCCTCCGCAATTCACCCCCCAGCACTGACTCCTCGCATACGCCCCGTGACAAAGATGCCCATGGCAGACGCCAGGTAGCCCACGCCGACGCGAAGACAGGTCCAGCCCGTTCTCCAGCCTGCTGTGCTTCCTAGAATGCCCCTAATCCCTGCACCTGGGAGTTACCTGTCCCACTGTCCTCATCACACAGGGGTGACTGGAAGCTTAGTCTGTCTCCCCACCAGACTGAACAGGGCCCACCTCAGTCACCTCTACTTCTAGGAGCTGGTGCAGTGCTTTGCTAGATAAAGCAGAAACCCCATGGATG